GGAAAAAAGAAGATATGAATATAGATAATTTAAAGAAAATAGAACGGCGGCGGATTACAGAATATCAAACTCAACATATATTGAGGAGAAAAATATAGAAGTGCAGGACACACTGAACCAGCACATATGTATATATATATATATATAAAGAAGTTAGTTTTGAAAAAAAAGAAAAATATTGTATTGCACACAACATGAATATAAAGACAAAAGAACGAGTAACATTATTAATAAATATAAGGACACACAACCATATTTAGAATATATTACTGACCAGCAGCTTATAATAAAGAACTATTATTGTGAATAAAGTGAAATTCGACGTTCAAGTAATGTTTTTATATCTGAACGTTTTACAAATGGACTTATTGATACATCAGGATAAAAGACAAAATTCCATATAAATATAGGATCACGAGGATCAATATCACGACCTATCGAAGAAGACGAAAAGAAAAGAATTTCATTATTAACTTAAAATAAATAATTGAAAAATTTTACCATTAAATGTTATTAATGTTTGATTATTATTTGCATCAATATTTGATCCATATAAACTAAGAATTTTATCACCAATAAAAATATTTAATGATTGTCGTTTATCATCAATATTCTTTTGATGTTTATTATTATTATTATTATCATCATTATCATCATCATCATCATTCTCATCATCATCCGAATATGATAATGGTAATGTTGCTGAAAGTATTGATGGTGATAAACAATTTGATCGTTCTGATGATGAACGACTTGATGGTCGATCTGATTGTGAATAATAATCACTTGTTGAACAAGTTAATGTAAATGATGATGCATCAGGATTTAAATTTGATGATGAATATTTATTTGAATCAATTGTTAATAATGGTACATCATCATTATTTATATTTATTGGTGTTGTTAATTTTTTTGTATTATGATATCGATTTGATATTGTACGTGGTGATTTAGGACTTATAAGAATTTCATTTTGTGCATATTCAACAATCATTGGATAACCATTTAATTGTAAACCATTACAAGCATTTAAAGCACGTTGTGCTTCTTCATTTGTTGAAAATCTAACAAAACCGTATCTTTCACGTACTTTAACACATTCAATTATTTGTCCATATGTATGAAAAATTGATTGAAGATGTGTACTTGTTGTATGTGTAGCTAAATTACCAACAAATAATTTACATGTTATTTGTTTGGAATTTGTAGATACATTAATATTTAATTTTTTGGACGGATTATATAGATTTTTCGAATTAAACATTGCTTGTTTGGTTTATTTTTAGGTGTGTGTATGTATGTGCGTCTATACGGTTTAAAGATGGAAATGAAAGTGGATAACAAAGATAGGAGGGATGAATAAAGTAGTGGAGTGAATATATGTTTAACAGCACGTGTTATGTTGTTGTTTTTCTTTTCTTTTCTTCTTCGAGGTTGTGAACATATTAACTAGGAGTATACATTCGTCGAATCGAATAATTTTATTTATTTTAGTAGAAATGATATGCAGAAGGTGACTTACGAAAAATAAATTTTTCTTTCTTTTTTTTTTGACTTTGTGAAAAGTATTGTTTTATGTATTCTCACACCAATTTAAACCATTTTGATATGCGAATTAATGAATATTTAGTGTTAAATGTTTATTTCTTAGCCATTTTAAATTAATGTTATTGTTTTCTTTGTTAGGCTATGCACAAAAAAAAAAAAGGAAAGAATCGATAATGAGCATTACAAACATGTTCATAAGAACATAAATGTGACGATCATTTTTCTTGTCTAAAGAAAGACATTATGATTATATAGATAATTGATCAATTTGTCGTTTTGTTTTTTGAATCGTACATATTAATTTTGTTATTTAAAGAAAAAAAAATTTTAAACTTATGATGACGGTTACTGTTGTTTAAAGATTAGAGAATATCTTACGAGGGAAGTTCATCAAGTGATTCATCACTTTTGAGTTGGAATTATGTGCAAATATATAGATTCAAATAGGCTTTGAATATTTTGAAAAGAGTTCGAATCCTTAGTTTATTACTATGGAGGTACTATAAATTTACGGTTGTTTTTAAATAAATGCTGTAGTCTCCCACAGGATAACTGATTTTCAACTTGAAATTTTGCATAGAAACAAACGTTAACCGATAATAGTTTATTGTGAATGTTTCAAGCCTCTAGTTGTATCATAAGATAGAAACAGCGACGAGATCTATGCAAAATTTGAGATCGAAATTTAAAAATCACTTTTCTTTAGGGGAGGGACCATAGCATTCATCTAAAAACTCCTGTAAAAGTATAGCATCTCTGTAGCAATAAGCTAAGAGTCTCAAGGTATTTAGATCCATATAATGCACATAGTGTCAGTTTCAAAGTAATTTATCAGTTGGAGAACTTCTCTCATTGAATCTGATTGATGAAAACTTTGTCGTTATGATATGCTGATGAGAAATTATAATCGTTTTCAAATAATTATTCATTCATTATTAAACAATAGGATTAACTAAAACATATTAATTCATTGACTAATTTTAATCAAAAGAATAAGAACTAAAAGTTTGAATGCTAGATTGAATTTACGAAACGAGAATGTTTCAAATATCCAAACGAAAAATAAACGTGAATAGCTTTTGAACGATCCAAATGATTTATATTTTTTTTTATAAATTCGTTAGGTTACTCTTCAAAGTCCTATTCAACTCATTTCTGAAAAAATATCGATGCTTATCAACATCATACAACGATTGGAGTTATTTTCGGATTGAAGCTTCATTCATCCAATATCGTTCAACAGATGAATTTATTAGTTCGTTAGTGCCATATTTCTATGTTCTCTAAAACTGTTACAGAAGAAATTTCGTCATGTTCTAAAATTTCTTTAAAATAATCAATGAAGGAAAAGTTGATGAAGTTCATGAATATGTGCCTACATAAAGCGTAACTTGTTTCATATTTCAAATAACACCGTATGAAATTATGACAGAATATTTCCTATTAGAGCCATTTAAAGTAAATATGAATTCTAAAATTCTACCAAGAAAATGTGCGCAAAACTTTATGACCAATAGTGATAGACTATCACGATCAGAGCAGATTGGTCAGTCTAAAATCCATATCATTTCCATCTCTAGGAGTCTCATTTCATGTTATAAATGTCTAAAGGATTTCCTGCATAAGCGTATCTAATAAAAATAAGAAAATCAATGAGTTCGATCGATAATCAGTACTGATTTCATGTATACTCAAAACAAAGAGAATAGTTTTTTTTCTCTTAAACTAAACAGTTTTCATTTTTATTGTCTAGTTAATAAATCAAATACCTAAAGGAATGTCTAAAAGATATACATTAAAGATCTCGTCCGAATAAAAATCAGAATCGATAACGAGATGAAAATGATGTTAAATGAAACTCTAGACAATATTTTTTAAATATTTGAAAAAGCCATATACCCAGAACGCTTCAAAAGCTCTCTTAAAAAAATTCAAGCGATTCGTTTTTTTTAATAATATGATAGTGTGTTTGTTGAAGTTTTATTTAATATAATTCCATTGAACAATAAATATTCATAATAATTTGTATCAACAAAAACACATAAGTCCATAGTTTTTATAATATCAGAAAAAACATAATACGGATTTTTTTTATCGAGTTATTTTCCTTATTGGTTTCTATTTTAGATTGAATCTGATCTTTTAAAAACATTCTATCGACATTGATTTTTATATTATATTTATTTATAATAAATTTTTACATATTGTAATTCGATCTTATAAATCAGTTTCGTGATGCAATCTTCGTTGAGCTTGACTTTTGTAGTTTTGTAAAGTTTTTCAAACCATTATTAATTTCTAACGACGTCAATTTCATCATATGAGATATTTATGTTTCCTATTCCGACAGAGTTCTAATACACTGTGCAAATGAAGTTATATTAAATGAAACTATAAAACAATTTCGTATAAATAACTTTAACGGTTAGAACACTATTGACATTGCCATTTCATTTAGACTTTTTGAACGCTCTGTACTTTTATGATTGTTCTAACGAGAGAATTACCCCAAGTGGTACTTCGCGTTTGAGACGAGACGCCATTCATTAGGTATGGTCTCTTGAGACTAGAAGAAGCCTAGTCACTATGCGTTGTTCTTCTAGAGTTATGACCATTTCACTGAATTTTTTATCCTTGGTACAATACTTACAAATAAAAAAACAAGGAAGTGAATTCTGACCTGAAACTTTGTCCATAAACAGTTGTTCAAACCAGTAGAATATTCTAAAAATTTCAGTCAAGAAGAATGATTCATTCTTGAAATATTATATCCTCAAAATCCGATTAATGAAAAATTTTCAGATCAGGCTCCGATCGGGTTCGGCTCTAAGTCCGTATCGGATCCGACGTGTTCTAATGGGCACTAGGCTTTTTATAGTCTCAACAGATCCAATCTAATGAGAGGTGTTCCGTCAAAAACACACGGTACCATCCGAAGCAATTCCCTCGTCATCGATGAAAGATAAATCTGAATCCTAATAAACTATTATCATAAATAAATCTACCATACCCATTTTATAAGATCAATAGTTCAAACTTTCATTTCAATTTGAATTATAAATAATGAAAGTTTAAATCATAACTTTGCTTATTTAAAATTTTGATAATATTTTGTTTTCTTTTCGAAAAGTTTATGTGATTTTTTTTTTTCGTTCTATATTGTACTTATAAAAATGAGCAATCTCTCTTTTCTTTTTTCATATGGCTAAAGATGTATCATCGAACTACTAGATAGCATCAAACAAACAAAAAAGAAAAACAAAACAAAACTGTAGAGCATAGCGAAGAAAAAAAAAAGAAATCACATAACACACGCACACACAACAAAATAAAATAAAACGTTCAAATGAAAGTAAAAATTTTCTTTTTGTCTATCTATCAAATCTATCCTTTGTATGTTTGTTTTTATCCTAGGAAATGTTTTAATTTATATTAATTTTTTGTTTTTCGTATTAAATAAGTCGATGTTGTTGTTGTTTAGCAAGAAAAGCCACAGGATCAAAAGGCATTGGTGTTGGTGTTGGATAAAGTTGAGTATTTGGTGGTGTAAAATGATATTGAAGATGATCAATATTAAATTGTTGAAGATTACTAGCAAACATTGCTAATTTTTGATCGAATAATGTTGCTACTAATAGTGATATTGGATCATTTGGATTTGATGTCGATGATGAGGATGATGATGATTGTGGTAGTGATGGTGGTGGTGTTTGTGGTTGTTCTTTAGTAGCAATTGAGATTTGTGAAGGAATTGTTGTCATTCTATTTGATGGCGGTGGTGGTGATGATGATGATGATGAAGCAGTAGTTGAAGGCGGATGTGAAGCTACATTTGTTGTTTGATTAGTCTTGCATCGTTTTCGTGGCTGATACTAGAAAGAATAATAGTAGAATTTAATCGAAAGAATTATGTCTATGTTGATAATTTTATATATATGATAAAAAAGTAGATGTGTATAAAATGATTTAGGCATTTTTTTAAATTTGAATTCGGAAATATTTTATACAGTATAAAAAGAGTTTACAGAATGCTTTCATGTTAAACAAAGCAGTTGTGTTTAGGAATGAAAAATCTTTCTTTGAAAGCTATAAGTTACGTTGAACATTGTTCAAATGGTTATTCTCGTGCAAGAATTAGAGAATATGAGAAGCAGATTTCATTTGTTTTCTCATATATCAGTCTTTAACTTTTTATGTTCTTCAACATTAGTTCATAAAATTTTATCAAGTTCAAAATAAATGAAATCTAATTTCTGTTTTTCTAGAAAAAAATTTAAAATGAATAAAATCATAGTTGATTAATAGAAGCGATATATATATATAGGTTAAAGTTCAAGAAAATAATTACTTTATATGTAGGATATTGTCGTGCATGAAGATGTTTTAATCGTTCCGATTCTTCCATATATGGTTGTCGTTCACGTAATGACATTCGTTTCCATTTTGCTCCACAACATCTAGAATATTTGTAATCATAAAATAAAAATAAAAAGCAAAAAAAAAATATATATATATAATTATATAGCAAACTTACTTGCTTATATCAGCATTCGGTAGATGTGGTGCTAATTGAACCATTTTTCTACGTTCAATTTGTGAAAAAACCATAAATGCATTCATTGGTCGTTTAACATGACCAGGACGTACACGTTTTTTTGGTTGTGTACGTGTTGCATCTGAATATGGTGTTGGTGTTGTTGGATCAATAAGTGCTGAACCAAAAAAAATTGGTGGTGAATCAGTATTTGTATTTGATGATAATAATTCAAGTAACATATGGTAATCATCTGGTCGTAAAGCTCGACAATTTATTTGTGGCCATGTAACAATAACAGAAGATTTTGAATTTGTATTTGTATTTGTTGAATTTTGAATATTTAAATCTGATGTTGTTAATGTATCAGGTGATGAAAGTAATGAAGAAGAATTTGTTGATATACCATAACTATGATCATGTTGTAATGGTGAAAATGATGTTGGTGATGATAATGTTGATGTTGATGTTGATAAATTTTGATGAAAATCAACAAATGATGGCGGTGATGATGATGATGATGATGTTATTATTGTTGTTTCATCAAGTATTGGTTCATCTTTTGGAAATACATCAAGATGATGATGATGATCAGAAAATAAACTTGTTGCATCCATTATTGATGGTAATACTAAAAATAAAAATATTTATTTATTAAAATTATAGAAAAAAAAAAAGAAAAACAAGAATACTTGAATCAGTTGGTTGTTCAGTTCTGACTTTGGTAAAGAGTCGATTTGTTGAAACAATTCTCAATGATCGTCCATTACTATTATTATGAGGGTCGATTGATGTCGACATCATTGTTTATATTTTTTCTTTTTCTATTTACCATCAAATAAACAAACTTATGAATCTAAACTGATTTGTTCGTTTCAAACTAAAAGAAAATTTTATTCTCTCGATAACATCGAAAACGAAGGAAAAAGAAAAAAAAATAACGAATTAAGTTCAGCGTGCCATTCTGTCTGCTAGGCAAATATATAGTGATTCAGATGGACTAGCAACAATAACACATAACACGTGACTTGTTTTGATTATTTTTAAATATACAAAATTTAGATCATTAAAAGTTTTTCCTATAGACATAAACAAAGAAAACAAATATAAATAATTAAATAACAAAAAATAATGAATATTGTTGAAGAATATTTTTGGAAAGCTCATATGGCTTTTCAAATGAATCGTTTAGATGATTCATATCAATTTATTTGTCAAGCTATTGAACAACTTAATCAATCTCATTTGACATTAGAACAATTGGAACTTATTTGGTCGATTATTCCGAGTATGTATTTAGTTTTTGAAGTAGATTTTGCGATAATATCTAATGAATATATAATATATCTTGATAACTTCACCTTGTTTTAATTTTATTATAGTTTACAAAATTCATAAACAAGAAATAAATTGATTTATTATCTCCATATAACATAAGTTTCTTGGAAGTAAAATAATTCCTCTTTTAAATGCAAAATTCAACATATCTCTTTGAATATCAACAATCTATGTGCTTTTACTTTGATATTTAGTAGGGTTATTTTACCTGCCATAGTTGCATATATTTTTATATACATTAAATCCTAGAGACATTTTCTATATTAACGAAAATTTGAAAAGAGTTTTTGTCTAGATATACAACAACTAGGAATGATGTTATATACTAATACATAGATGATTTTATATTAGGAGTTATAATAGATTATGTAGGCTATTGAAGTAAGACGAATTTTAGTCGTGACTTACAATTATTGACAGAGGAAAAAAAATATCAACAAATAAAGATTTTTTTTGGCGATGATTTTCTTAACTTCAGAAAGATTTGATCAAAATTGAAATACGAAGTTCAATAGTAAAAGAATTATTAATAACAATAGATTCCTCTCATTTGTAAAAATGCAAATCATATAAACGGAGTATTCTAAGTTGGACAAAGCAAAAATTAGTCGATACGAATAATAGCTGAGAAATTTATAGTAACAGAACAAAAACCTTTTGATCAAAGCCTTCAACTGAAAACAAATAACATTATCAAACATTGGACTTTTTCGGCGTTAGAAACAAAAAAAAATCATTATTTTTCGAACAGGGTCACTTTCACCTAAAATACAACAAAGAATGGCTAGTATTTCTAGATTTTGATTATCAAATTACAGTCTAAATTTTACGAACAAAAAAACTTGAGAGGGAGTAGATCGAAAATTTGAATCAGAGATAGTTTGAGATGAAATGTATGATTTTCCATATATTTCTCCATGCTGATTCCAAAAATCAAATTTTCATAAACCAATGTAATGGCCATAACTCTAAAAGAGCAGCGCATATGGAAGAATCCTTCTAAATTTTTTCCTAGCCCCAACAGGCCCTACGTAATGACTGGAATCTTATCTCAAACGCAAGATATCATCTCGGGTAGTTCTCTCGTTAGAATAGAAATAACAACGAGATCTAACACATTCACAAGAAACTATTCTCGTTAAGGTCTGTTTATGTATAAAGTTTCGAGTCGAAATTCAAAAATCAATTTTCTTGAAGGAAACCGAGACATACATTTTAAAACTGCTATAAAAGTGTAGTATCTCAGCAGGAATAAGCTAAGAACACAAACTCTTTTTATAAGGTACTTATAATTCATTTAGGTCTACAAATCAGTTAAAGGATTTCCCTCATAAGTTTAAACAAATTCAAGTTCTGATATTCTCAGAACATTCACAACAATAGAAAAAAATAGTTAAAAGAAAAATAAATTAACACAAAGGAATGAGTACCAATTCTTTTATTGACTATTTTTTCGTAGATCAATTCATCTGTATTTATTCTTTTTTTGTTGTAAATAAATTTTTGTTTTTAGAAATAATTGCGAATCATAGAAAATCTATTGAATATCTTGTTCATTATCATCGAAGTATGCCTATGGAAACTGATGAATTATTTGATCGTTTAACACAATCTTATGTAAATCAACTTGAACAAAATCAAGCTAAAATTTATATAAAACTTATTGATTATTTTGATCGATATCTTATTCAAGAAAAAAATGATATTGATCATATACATCTTAAACGTCTTCAATCTGATTTATATCTTCAATTATCATATATTTCACGTCCATATCAATCTCAAGTATTTTACAATAAACATAGAAAACTATTAAACGATAATGAACAAATAATAAACATATACAAAGATTATTTGACATAAAAATTTAAATTATTTGTTTTTTTCTATTTGATTTAAATCTTCAATTAAATTTGAACGACCTGATGTTATATGATCTGTTATTATTTGTCCATAAAGATTTCGTTGAAGTAATTTATATGCAAGTGGTAATAGATTCGTAATACGTGAATGAAGTTTTGATGAACCATATAAAAATAAATTTAAACCAAATTCTAAACCTTCACCATAATCACATTCATCATTTGCAAATTGTATACATGTTATAACATGTTGTAATTCATCTTCAGCTGTTTGACTTATAGATTCTGATGTACTATTACAAAATTTATCACAAACTTTTTTAAATTGATCTAAAGTAATATGAAAATATTTATTAGAGAATACCGAAAATATTTTCATTTCTTATAAAAAGCTTAAAGATATAGCTGATCATTCTTCAACTATTACATTAAAGCCCTGCATCAGACTTCGAAATTCGGCTCTGTCGCAGTTACGTTAGTAAAACAGACAAGTTTTTTTTCTTACTCTTGCATAGTAACAAATTTATTCTTCAGATATTAAGTCATCAACAAAAATAAGTTTCAAGAATAAAAAATATCAGAGAGCCATTGTTATTAACAAGTAGCATTCAAAGAAGTGCATATACTAGTCAAAAATTTTCACTCTGCAGGACTCTAACGTGTATTTTCTTTTTTCTCGTGTCCTCTAAAGACTAGCCATCTATATACATATTAGGGTATAGAAAAAATGATATTGATAGAACAAAAAATAAATATAGAAACAAATTCATTAAGTCTTTATTTCCATTAAATGTTCGAAATAATCGCCCCGATTATCTACACTCCATTGCAATTGTTGAATCCGATTATCGAACGTTTTTTTATAATCTTCTTTAGTCAAAGAAAACATGAACTTGTTTACAGCACGATGCAATGATTTGGAATCGCTTAGATTCTTTTTGTTTGATTAAGTCGAATAGCCGAAAAAGTACATTACGACCTCCATCAAATTTTATCCGATTGGACTAAAAATTTTTTGGAGATACTAAAGATTATATCTCAAAGGTAATTTTAAGCTTTTTCAAAAATTTGACTTTCATTTTTCTTATGAGAGAAATACGTAAATGTTCGGTACTAAGACTGGGGTCTTAGCTTTCAAGATCCTATAAATCCGGGTAGGAAATTCAAAAACGAAAACGACTGATCTAACCTCTGGAAAATCCTTCTAAGTATCAGTGGATCGGTTATACTGTCTTCGAGTACCACGAACAGTCAACAAGAGGGCAGGTACTCTTAAGGAAAAACTTGTTTCTATATGAAGACAAAATGTGATCTAATATTACCATTACAGATCATAACAAACAGTTCTTATCAAAATATTATTATTTTTATTATTATATTAGTTGAAGAACGATTGAATATCAGAGAAAAAGTTCTTTTAAGCTATTTATAAAGAAGTAAAATACTTTCAGTCACTACTTTCATCATGCTCTAAGTAGTTTGAGGAAATTCTTTTTTTAAGAATATTAGTTTAATAACCTTTAGTAAATGGAACAGGACGATAACCAATATCATTTTCAAATGGAACAACCATTCCTAAAGAATTTAATAATGTGCAATTAATTTTTTTCTTTCGAGCATTGATTTTTGGTGTTATTTCATCGAGAGAATATTTTTGTTTTTTTGCATAAGTTTCGAGATCAGTTAGAAAATTTTGTAAATCATTTTTAGAATTTGATTTAAGAATAGAACGACCATATAAACTAAATAAAAAGAAAGAGAAAATTAAATTATTCATAGAAAATTTTACTTACTAAATTGCAGCAAATATATTATCACCACAAATTTTAAAACGATTATTCTCACTTGCATTATTAGAAGCAAGAAATGATGGTAGTTCATCAGGTGAATCTCTAAATAAAAATAATATTAAATATATATAATTAACAATTTTTGAAATATATTAAAAAAAAATACAAGATTAATAATTCGAAAAATGAATGTCTATATTCTTTGTTATATAGATAAATATTAACTTACCTATAATAACCAATATGAAATTGACTTGATTTATCAAGAGTTCGAATAAGAGTCATAAATTCAGGTGTATCATAATAATATCGATAATGTAAATGAACATTGGGTACTGTTTTACATTGTTTTAAAGCATCATCAAGAATTTCAAATGGACCCACTAATTCCAAATTAAGTAAATTTTTCAAAACATCTAAATGGAGAGAGAGAGTGTAACAAACTTTTCGGACATTTCAAACAATTATTAGTAGCATAGATTTGAAATTTTTTGCTGAAATAAACATTTTTTTTCTCATCACTATGTTAACAAACATAAAACTTGAACTCAATGAAAGATTCACCGGCATCTGCTCTAGATATAAGAAAACTCTGTTTATCCTATCCAATTGGTTTGTAAGAGTTCCATTTTAGGTCGCGTACGCTAAGCTGTATATGTGCAATGAAATAGGACTGTCACACACAGATATTAGAAAGGATAAAATCAGGTTTGTAGAAATTCCAGCCCACGAAAGAACTTCCACCCAATTTCAATGATGTTAGATACTACATACTATTCGAATAAAAACTCTAAAAGGATTTTGGTTTGAATAA